GATTAATAAAAATCTTATCTTTGTCATGATCATTAGAGTAGTATCATTAATCACCTGATTTTTTTTTATCAGAACCTTACCTCCCCCCCTTAGATTTAATATATGACTGATCAGGTTCTCTATATATAAATTCAATTTTTTTGACCCCCTCCTTCTCTAAAAAATCACCTGATTTTTGACAGTACCCTTATAAAGATTGCATCATTAAAATTCTGTTTGGTGATTAACTTACTAAACAAATTATATTTGTTAAAAATAATTTATATATAAAATAAAAATAAAATAATAAATTCTAAATAAAAATAATATTGTTATTTTTTTCTAATACAATTATTTGAAATAATATTTTTTTTTTCTTTTTATCATTAATTACCAACATATTTGTAAGATTTTTCTTGTTATTAATAGTAATAATTGTAGATTTGTACTCAGAGAAATTCATGTTAATTATAGTGAATTCCTTTTCTTCTACATGTTCTTGTAATTTTTCTTTTTTCTTGTTGATAATTTCTTGGTTGTATTTTGCTTTGTATTTGTATAGATATTCATTCAATTTTTTTTTCTTCTAAGTAACATCTTATAGTCTCATTATTTACTGCTAATATAAGATCTGTATCATTTAAATATTCTTCATAAATATTACTACTTTTTTCAATTAAATCTTCATCTAATTTATTATAATTTGATATAATTTCTTTCAAGATTTCATCATCTTAATAATAAATATTATCATTAATTACTTCATCTAAATTTATTTTTGTAAAATTACTTGTTAAAATTCTGTTCAGTGATTTTATTCACTGAACAGATTATATTTATTTATTTAATATAATAAAAAAAAAATAAAAATATAAAACTATTGAACTATTTTAAGAATTTCTTCTTCAATTTCCTCATCTTCAGTATTAATAGTTGTATAATTAATACTATTATTGTTAATATCATCACAATTTATACTGTTACAATGTATCATATCACAATTTTCTTCAACTTCACAATTTTCTACAACTTCACAATTTTCAATAACTTCATTAATAATTTCTTCTTTAGGACTTACAGAATTTTATTGAGTCTTTTTCTTTTTGGTTTATGTCTATTTTTTGTTTTTAAATAATTATTAATATAAGCAATAATTTTTTTAAGTTTTGTTTCTAATATCTGAGTTAAACATCTTTCATTTTATAATCTTCTTATCTCATTGAAATCAACAGAATACCAATTACTATTTTTTTCAGATTCTATATACTGAGGAGTAACATCTCTAATATCAGCAATATAAACAGCAGTTCTATAAATATCTTCTGTTTTACTATTTGGAAATATTTTAGAATTTTCTTCTATAGCAACTTTAATCAAATTTTCATTATTCAAAATAATTTATGATCTTCTAATACTTCACATTTTGCATATTCAAGAAAATAATCTTTCTTTTTTCTATTAATAGAATCTACTTTACCTCCAGTAACTTAGTACTTTCTATTATAATTAGTACAAGGTATTTCATAACGTAATATAACATATATATTTTTAGATGAATTAAATAATACACATAATGCATACTCTCTAAATTCATATGTTTTTAAAGCACTTTCTTAAACAATCTTATTATTAAGATATCTATTATAGTTGCTAACAACTTTATCTAAAACTTTTTCAATCATTAATTCATTTTTTGACAAATTATTTAACATAGTAATATAATTTTTATATCTTTGTTCATGATTTGTTACTTTTTCAAGCTTTGTTTTAAAATCAGAATATTCTTGATACAAAGCTATTTTGTTGTTAATTCACAGGTCTAAATTTGAAGTTTCAACA